GCTTTGCTAGCTTGTCTGGACTTTATTATCCTATTACTAGCTTGGGTTTTAATTATCATGCATAGTTATGCTTGATTTCCTAGGTTAGGTGCATTCCTATATTTTATTGTAGTTATTGTTGAGTGATGCTACCATTCGCATTCACGTCTGTCTGCCTCCCATCATATGTTCGTGCGTTGCATGCGTGTTGTGAGTGTGTGCAAGAATTTGTGTTTTGTGCGGTTCGGTTTTTCTGAGTGTGTGTGAATGTTATTTGGCTTGAGCAGATATCTGAAGTGACTCCTCTGCTCAAGAGCTTACCGACGAACCAAGTATCGCTTCAATCGGAGCACGAACAAGAAAGTTACGAACGTTGGAGTTCGTATGCTTTTGATATTTGGTTGTGGTGACTATGGGAAGTTGTGGGGTTGACTCAATATGGGGTACAGACTTTTGGGGGTTGGGAAATTCGTCTTTTCTACTGTAGTTGCTGCCAAATGGTTGGGAGAAACCAAACCAGGTTGGCAAGTGTGGCCAAGTTGGGTTGAGGTGGATTGTGGAGGTTGGGATAGTGACAAAGGTCAAAGTTGGGTTGCCTATGGGGAAAGGAATTGTATGGCATGGGGTTTCCTTGGTTGGGGACTCTCTCGGGACCTTCCCTCTCGTCCTCCTCATCCCTTCCACCTGGTTTAGTGCTACTCTAATTCTCTTGTGTGAACTTGTGTGAACTTTGTGATTGAGTTAAGTTCTTATGGCAGCATACCTCCCTGTGCGCCGAAATTGATAAGTCGAGATTTACTTCACCTCTTGATACGTTTCAACTTGGGAATTGTAGCCACGGAGTAGAGCTATAACATATTTGAGTTTGGTGAAGTTTTGACTGTGCACTTTTCGTCGACGGCGTTTCTTGTGAGCGCAACTATTCTGTTCAGAAATAGGGACCAACGATTTTGAGAAATTTAGGCACGTAATCTTCATAGACTCCGTCCTTAGTCTCTAACAGTTATAGCACCAAACCAGGTTACGCGTACCGAACTCAAGCCTATTCGGTTTCCACCGAAGTGCTTTCTACTGAGTTTGGGATCGCAGTCGGACGAATAACGGGGGTAAACATGTGGATAATCCTGTGCTGGTTGTTGGCACAGTTGTTAAGAAAAAATACATGTAATGTTCGTCGATGGCGGGGCTAGCCATAGCCTCTTTAATCTGGCGACAGCAAAAAAATGTGGCTACCACTTGACAGGTGTCTGCCCGACATTGGTGCGCGCCTCGTGGATGGGTTGCCTCTGGCGATTTTGGAGGAAACACAAACAGTGCAGAGTGAGTGCGGTGACAATTTTGGCTTCAGCATGAAGTTTCCTGCGACAGCGTTGGACGGCTACGACGTGCTCCTGGGACGTGATTGGCTGCGACGACACAACCCGATAATCGGATGGACAACGTGATCGTGCAGCATCAGCAAGCATGAGGGGCTAATTACACTGCCCGCGTGTACACATCAAGTCTACGTGCGTCAAGGCTATCACGGTTAGACAACACGTCAATAGGGGTGCGCAGCCGTATGTAGTTTGTCTGTGCGAGTTGGCAGCCGGCACCGACGGAAATGACATCGACAAATTGTATGCAGTTGTACCGCCCGAGCTGGAGCAGCTGATTCGGCAATACCCCGAGACTTTTCCGGATGACTTGCCACCTGGCCTACCACCCAAACGACCAGAAGACCACAAAATTACACTCGAGCCCGGCGCACAACCGACTGTTTGCACACAGTGGCGGTTGAATCAGCCTGAAAACGCAGAGCTTTGAAGTCAAATTGAAGCACTGTTGGAGAAGGGCTTCATCAGACCCAGTATTTTTCCTTTTGCCGCGTCAATCGTGTTCACTCCGAAAAAGGATGGCAGCATTCGCATGTGCATCATCTATCGCATGCTGAACTGGGTTAAAATCAAATCTTGCTATTTTATCCCACGCACCGACGACCTCCTCGACCAACTTCACGGTGCTCGTTACTTCTCGAAGATGACCTACGGCGGTTACCACCAGATTCGGGTCTTCGCGGACGACTGTCACAAGACTTCATTCCGAACTCGCCACGGTAGTTACGAGTTCAAAGTGATGCCTTTCGACATTTCAACTGACCATGAGCAGGGTGTTCCGGGAGCTACTCGAGAAGTGTGTTATCGTCTACTTGGACGATATCCTGATTTTTAGTAGGACACGCAAAGAACACCTCCGCGACCTCGACGAAGTTTTTAAACGCCTCCAAGCCAACCGCCTCATCACCAAGGCTTCTAAGTTCGGGTTTTTTAAGCAAGAGTTGGAGTTTTTGGGGCAAGGCATCTCACGCAACGGCATCAAGATCGACTCGAAGAAAATGAAGACCATTCATGAATGGAAGGTCCCGATTAATGTCACCGAACTTCAGATTTTCATGGGGTACATGAATTATGTCATGCGGATTATATTGAATATGGCGGGGATAACTGGCACACTGACCTACCTGCTGCACAAGGACAGGAATTGTTTATGGGGGGGGGGAAGCTGGGGCGGCTTTTCAGGAGCTGCAGTTGCTGGTGTCCCCTCCAGTCCTTCACATCGCCGACCCATCCCACCGTTTGAAGTCATCACCGACGCTTCAGATTCTGCCATTCTGCTCCAAGATTTCGGCAATGGCTTCAACCAATCGCCTACGAGTCACGCAAGCTGCAGGCAGCCGAGCGCAACTACCCAATTCACGACAAGGAGATGCTCGCCATCATCCACGCGTTCAAGCTGTGGCGTTGTTACCAGACTGGCACCGATGCCACTGTTCGCACCCATCATAAATCATTATTGTACCTTCGCGCGCAACCCAACCTCAACCCACGCCAAATCAGGTGGCTTGACTACATGGAGTCGCATTTTCATTATCGGATCACCTACAAGAAGGGCGCGAACAACATCGCCGACGCCCTGACCCGCCCAACAATGCAATCCGCTGCAGTACTGATCACCCGTTCGAACCCGCTACTTTCAGGGCAATTCACCCACGGCTACATAAACGGACCCGTTCTTCACGACAGCCAATCACCTGCAGGCAACAACGTAGAAATGGGGTTATTTCCCTAAAAGCCGTAACTGACAGGGTTTGGGTATCGCTGCGTGAATTACTTATCCAGGAGGTCCATGATTCGAACCTCTCAGGACATTTTGGAGTTGACTAGATGCAGAACCTTTTGCAAAGTCGGTATTATCGGCCCGACTCTTCCTCTCACGTGCAGCGTTATGTGTCTTCATGCAGAGAATGCCATGCTATGAAATCGACACGTCAGTGACCGGCCGGCCTGCTGCAGCCCCTCGAGCCACCAGAGCGACCGTGGCAACAGGTGGCAATGGACTTTGCTGCCAGCTGGCGCATCCGTCAACGATTCAGTACTCGTCGTCGTCGATTGCCTTACGAAAATGTCGCACTTCGGTCCTGTCGCACGACAATCACAGCCGAAGAAATCGCGCGCCTGTTCATCTCGACCATTGTTCGACTTCACGGGATTCTGTCTGCGATCGTTAGCGACTACGACTCGAAGTTCATGTCAAAGTTCTGGAAGGAAACCTGGGCGCAGTATGTCACAAGACTATAGTTCTCGTGGGCCTACAACCCGCAAATCGAAGGACAGACCGAGCGCACCAATCAGACAGTGGAGCAGCTCATTCGCACGAAGTGCTCTGACCCTGCTCGATGGGAAATTTCACTCTCGATGCTGGAATTTGCGTACAACAACACCCCGTCTAGCATGACCAATCACTCCCCATTTTTCCTTAATTACTGGATGGATACAGTGGTACCTACAGCGACGACTCTCGAGAACCCGGTACCTACAGTTCACAACACTTTGTGACGGAACTTCAGGCCATCCGCGAGAAAGCTGTCGAAGCCATCCGTAAGGCAAATGCAACTTCCTGCAAATCTCTGATCGTCTACGCCGGGAAGTCACTATGGTTGCTGGGCAACTATTCTTACTCGACATAAGGAACCTTCAACTGCCCAACTCGCAGAAACTCTGCCCGCGATATCGTGGACCTTTCCGCATTATCAAAATATTCACCACGGTGACAGCGAATCTTCTCCTACCCGACGACTGGTGTGTGCGTGATGCCTTCCACGTCAGCCTCCTTCGGCCTTTTGTTGCTGCCACGACGGACATCGCCCACCAAAACGCTGCCCAACGGCACGACCTATATATAAACCAACGCTTGACCCGTCGAAAATATTGGGGCATCACGTACGACTTAACGCCGCGGGGCGCCACATGGATTTCTTGATCCGCTAGACTGACTGTACCAGCCAGGACGACACTTGGGTGTCATCCGCCTCGCTTGAAGCACCTTCGCTGCTATGAGGTTACCTCGCCCGGAAGCGTGTCGCGGAAACTGACCAACTTTCTCAAAGAGGGGGGATAGTGTAAAGGAAAAACCTTTTTCCTTACTGGGGTTTACTGTGTCGCGTAATACCCCTACTTTCGGAAGTGCACGTTCGGCCGGTTTGCTTGCTGCCGAAGCAACATCGCGTCGCCTTCGGTTTCCTTTTGCCTAGCCTGCACCCAACCTCGTGTTCCCGAGGTTCCCGCCTAGGGGTATTAACTATCATACACTGTATTGACTCATGTAAAGGATGGGGTGTTTTCTACCAGCGGCTGCAAAACCTTAACTAATCACAGCCCATGGTCCTTAGGTTTCTGCCTAGGTGGATGTGCCTGTCTACCGTAGATTACGGTAGGACTTCATTTGAGTAAAAACATGGTACGGTATTGTGCGAGTGATGTTAACTACTGATCACAAGCAGAGCAGCTCTGTTTTCATTCTGAATCAGGAAGCCAAGAATAGAAGGATGAAGCGTCACTAGTGACAAGGTGCTCTAAAGCCGTCTAACGCTTAGAGCAGACTGGTAGGAACAAGAGAAGTCCAGCGAAAAAGGGCGCAGAAATGGATGTAACTAAAAAATGGTAGGAATGTGAGTTGGTGCAAGCTGAAAACACTCAGATGGATCAACACGCCATGCACCACATGCTATTCACCACATGCCATGCACCACATGCCATGCACTGCACGCCATGCACCACATGCCATGCACCACATGCCATGCACTGCACGCCATGCACCACATGCCAAGAGCCATCCATACAGCATAATCTGTGCACAAGTTGCCAGTGCCTACATATTGCACACACCATGCCGTGCACTCCAATAATGTCATCTCACCCAGAATATCCTCGAATGCCTCACAACACCATGCAGCACTTCAAGCACATGCCATGCATCCCAGCACATGCCATGCATCCCAGCACATGCCATGCATCCCAGCACATGCCATGCATCCCAGCACATGCCATGCATCCCAGCAGCATTATCTCTCTACGTCCATCCACGGCCGTCGCACCCCGTGAATCTGCTGGTCGCTCCACCCGCATCCACGCACACACAACCGGGCCACCTGCTTCCCATCCCGTATGGGCCTCCGCCATCCCAGCTGCACGTTGTTAAAGCCCACGTCCAGCTCCTTCAGCTGCGGCACACGGCTCACATGCCGTAGGAGCGCCACATGCAGGTTGCAGTACTGCTGTAGCTTCACGCGCTCCAAATGCTCAAGTAAATAAAGTTGAGATGCGCCCCTGTAGATGACTCCCGTGGCTGACAGGTCCAGGGACTGTAAGAGTGGCATGCTGCGGCTCCACCCCCACATGTATGAAGCCACATCCATGCTGCATCCAGCCAGCCCCAGGTCCCTCAATTGAGATAATCCCTCAAAGTACGCAGCATCACTCAGGTTGGTGCCGGTGATGTGGAGAGAGGTGAGGTGTGTGAGAGCAGTGAAGGCATGCAGGTCTTGGCTGCTGCGGGCCACTCCATGCAAGCCAAGCTGCTGCAAGCCCTGCAGCGCACCCACCACCTGCCACACACCGCCATCCAAGCACGGGTACTTGGGGTTATAAAGCCGAAAGTCACAGTAACAAGCGTGCTTGCTGTTGGGAGTGGGCCGCTGGCAAACTCTCGATATATCGGGCAGGAAGTTGTTGCGAAACTGCAGCTGCATCTGATGGTCCTCCAGATTTGCTGGTGCCACCTGCAGCCTCGTCAGCCTGGTAAGGCGATTCAGGTTCCTCAAACCCCATTGAGTCACTTCCTCACTGCACGTGCAGGAGAAGGCCTCAAGGCGGGTCAACGCGCCAACCTCCTGCAGCAGGTGGTTTGTGACGCGGCTGAAATGCAGCTCCCTCAGCCTCTCAAACGGCTCGCTCTCATAGGTGTAGAAAGTGCCGAAATTCAGCTCGCTGGGGTCTGGGCAGTCCAGAACGAGCCGGTGGAGCCGAGAGAAGGATGAGAACCGAAAGTTGCCAGAGGGATTAATGGAAGTTTCCAGGACGGAGAGTGAGGTGAGGGAGGGCAGCCGGCAAAGGGAGGAGAGGGAGTGAGAGGGAATGGGCGAGAGGCGGTGGAGGGTGAGGGAGGAGAGCGAGGCATAGAGGCCGGGGCAGTAGCAGGGAGCGAGGGTGAGGAAAAAGAAAAGGCTGTGGTTAGGGTCGTCACTGAAAACGGGGTTGAGGCCTGAAAGTGTGAGGTGCTGTGCTGCGGGGTCTTGGGTTACCAGGAAGCTAGTGACCTGCTTCATCCTCGCTTTGACACTCTCTAGTTGGTCTACAGGAACAATGCGCATGATATTTTTGATCTCTGTGCGTGCTCGCCCCTGCTGCTCTTGCTCTCGCTGATCTCGTTCCCACTGTCCATTCCTGTCCGCTTCATCTGCCCCGCCTTCCCTTCCTCGCCCTCCCCTCGTTCACGTCTTTCCCCCGTGCACCTTCTAGCACCTCCGCCTAAACCTGCAACCCCCGTCCGCCCCCTCTGGGCGAGTCTGGCTGCCGTGACACGTGCCTGGGCGTGGGGCTGTGAGGGACAACGGGACGAAATGGGTGGAGGAAGGGGGGGTCAATGTGGGAAAAGGAGAATCACATGAGAGTTGTCCATGTAATGGCCCATGTAATGGCCCATGTGGTGGTCCATGTGGTGGCCCATGTGATGGCCCATGTGGTGGCCCATGTGGTGGCCCATAGGAGGGGAAGCATGAAAAGAGCAGTGGTGAGAAGAAGAATCAAGAGGGCAAGAAGAAGTGGTGAGAGTGCGTGGAAGGAGGAACGGGGTGGAGAGAAACTGTGTGAGAGTAGCCTAGAGTGATGAGGAGATCACTGATGAGGACATTGTTGTAGTAGTACCCAAGAGGAGATCACTAATGAGGACATTGTTGTAGTAGTACCCAAGAGGAGATGACTGATGAGGACATTGTTGTAGTAGTACCCAAGAGGAGATGACTGATGAGGACATTGTTGTAGTAGTACCCAAGAGGAGATCACTGATGAGGCCACAAATATTCTCTCACACCCACCATGCTTTCACAGCCACTACATGACAGGGCAGATCGCTTCAGCACAGCGCACCTGCACCAAGTCATGGTTGTCACCAACTTCTTCCTCTTGAGAATTCTCTATCTTCTCATGCCCACGCTCTTCCTCCTCTTCCTCCTCTTCCTCCTCTTCCTGCTCTTCCTCCTCTTCCTTCTCTTCCTCCTCTTCCTGCTCTTCATGTTGGTGCAACCTACGGTTTGCACTCGGCTTGTTGTCCATGTGCGTGCATGCGTGTGTGCATGGAATGGTATGAGGGCATGAGATAATGTGTGTATGATGGGTCATAATGTCGAGTGTGTGTGTGTCGAGTCAATAGCGAGTTATCTCTAGTCGCGTGTTACGCGGTTGTTTGTGTCCTGTGTGTGGTTTCTATTTTGTTGTGTGTCTCGTGCACGGTTTCTATTTTGTCGTGTGTGGAACGTTCGGCGTGTCGCAGGTGTGTGCAGCAGACCCATCAAGAACTCAAGGATGAGTTTGTGATGAAGAACCCGAGCCTTGGTGTCAAGACTCAAGTGATTTCGAAGCTCGCCAAAAGGGTACACTTCAAGATGTTGAAGATAGTTACATTACAACGTGTAGTGTAACATTTCTGTTGGTGTAGACCCTTGTGGAGGGTAATTTCGAGACCCTACTTGGTTGGGGACAGTGTAGCACTGTTCCACATAACTGTACCTCGGCTCTTGGGGTTTGTGGGAGCTGGGAGTCATTCCCAACTCGTAACTCTTCCTAATCTTGTGTTCTAAGACTATGGTGGCTGCCATAGTGCCGTTCGTTCAAACCGACGCTGTGTCATCAATACTTGGTGAAAACGTGCGATCTAAATTGCCTATTGTAGGCCACGCTACGACGCCCCAGATCCAATTTGAATCTAGTCAATTGAAGGTGTGACCAGAACGCTATGAACGTTTAAAGCCGCTAAGCAGAAATCCGACTGTGCAGTCTATCTTTCGTTTTAGGCACATTGGAGCCTACTGTGACTATAACAAGTGGTATCAGAGCCCCTTGGAGCAGTTTCGACAATGGCTGGACCTGAGGAAAGGGGTGGCAGAGGTGCTGGTGGCAGTGGAGAAGCCCAAGCTCAAGGCCAACCCCGTGACTCAGCCATGGCGCCCGTGCAACCAAGTGTTGGCACATCTAGGGATGAGCCTAGAATGTTTGGCCTTGACAAGTTCAACAGTGACAACTTTGCTGAGTGGTCCTTCAGAATGGAGAACGTATTTGACCACTATGACCTGCTGGAGTTGATGGAAGGAACGGAGAAGCGTCCCGAGAACGACCCGGAGAAGAGCCCGTGGGTGCGGAAGAGCGCACAAGGCTATCTCCTACTTGGGCAAGCGTTGGGGAGCAGCCAAATCCGTCACATCAAGCCATTCCAGCGTGAACCAGAGAAGGGACCAAAGGCATGGGCTGCTCTCAAGGGTGTACACGCTCCTGCAACAGCTGCGGTAGCTGTGGTGTTGGAACGGCAAATGGCGACACTACGAATTGAAGAGGATGAAGCGGTTGAAGAAGGGGTGCAGAAATTCTTCGACTTGTTGACGCGGCTTGAAGGAGCTGATTTGAATTACAGTGAGCTCCAAAAGAAGACCAAGTTGCTGGCCTTACTCCCAGAGTCATGGTCCTCGCTCATCATCAACCTCAACCGAGATCTGCCCCGCCTCTCGCTTGAAGACGTGAAGCGCGCGATCCTTGAAGAGGACTTCCGCCGCCGTGAGTTGGCGAGTGCGGATGGCGCTGGGGCAGCGAGCGACGGCCGTGGATATGGCCGTGGAAGAGGCAGAGGACGAGGGGGAGGCAGATTAGGCAGCAACAACTTCAATAGAGGCCGCGGGAGTGGCGGTTACGGCAGCGACGACAAGAGCTACGGACGCGGTTACGGCAGCGACGACAAGAGCTACGGACGCGGTCGCGGCCGATTCGACGGCGAGTGTCACTATTGCCACAAGAGCGAACATATGTGGTGCGATTGCTACAAACTCCCTGATGGTTAGACCCCTTCTCAAGGCCAGGAGGGTAGAGGAGCAGGAGGAGGGAGAGGTAGAGGTCGTGGAGGCCGTGGCGGTCGCGGAAGTGGAGCTGCAAACATGAAGAGCGAAGATAACGACAAGGACCCGAGCGGCGATCGGTACCCGTGTCAATTCTACTTTGTGTCAACGCAAGCAGCGGCTGCACCAGAGAAGGATGAAGACTTTGAAGAGCCTGCAGCTGTGGGAAAGGTGACCCTACACCCCCTGGACTTTTGGGTGATCGATAGCGGCGCTACCTACACCATGACACCTCGCGCAGACTTGCTCACCGAACTTGAACCGTCACCGGTGAAGCATGTCACATCGGCTTTGGGGCAGCGAGCAGAGATGAAAGGCATGGGCAAGGCCATGTTCAAGGGTGCTGATGGAAAGATGGTGGGCCTCAAGAACGTGCTTTGGGTGCCCAGCCTTGCTGCGAACCTGATTTCCGTGCGGCGATTGGCAAAGGCCGGCATGGACGCGAGCTCGAAGGGAGCCAAGACCTACACCGCAAGGCTTGGCGAGCGGATTTTTTGAGACCTCCATGAGGATAGGGATGTCTACAACGAGATGTGGCAGATCCCAGTGGTCCCCATGCCTAATGAGAGGCAAGTGGCAGCAAGCGTCAGCACCAAGGGTGAAGCGATTGGTAGCGGAGATGGCGCGAACGGTCGCACTAAGGAGAACGAGTCCAACAAGTGCAATCTTGGAGGGACCAGCAAGTTGTGTGAACTTAAGGAGAGTGGTGCAGCAGCCAAGGAGCAGCACAAGGGTGAGGAGAACCCTAAGGCAGCAGCGGAGAAGGACTACGGCGAGAGCATGTGGGGCGCTATTGCGAGCGCGGCATTCTCCAATCCGACTTCGGCTACGGGGGAGTGTGATTGGCTCACCTTGCATCGGCACATGGGGCATGTGGCCCTGCCCATCTTGCAGCAGCTAGTGAAGAATGAGATGGTTGCTGGCATACGTGTGAAGGGGGAGCCCGATGAGGTACTTGGCTGCCCGACGTGCATGCAAGCCAAGTTCATCCGTTTCCCGTTCTCGACTTCGGAGGCAACGGCTAAGGCACCACTTGACGAGGTGGTGATGGACGTGGTGGGCCCCCTGGAGCTAGGAGCTGCTGGAGCAGAGAACTTCCTCACCATAGTCGACGTCTACACCCGCATGACTTGGGTGTATGTGCTTTCCAAGAAGAGCGACGTGGCTGAAACGGTCAAGACCGATTGGATGCCGATGGTGGAGCGGCAACAAGACCGGCTAGTGAAGTCGATCCGCCCCGATCGAGGGGGGGAGTTCCTGAGCAAGGAGTTCGGATTGTGGCTGAAGAAGAATGAACCAGACCATGCCACGCCCTACCATGCCCTACTCCCTTGCAATGAACGGCATCGCCGAGCGAGCGAACCGGACCATCACGGAGACGGCACGCGGGTTGCTCATTGAAGCCGGGCTACCCGACTATTTCTGGCCTGATGCGGTGCGGAGTGCGTGTGTGGCCAAGAACAGAGCTTTGACTCATGTGGGAGCAGACAAATGGGTGCCCTATGTGGAGTGGATTGGAAGGAAGCCAAAGGTGGATATGCTTCGGGTGTTCGGGTGCATGTGTATGGCGCTTGTGCCTAAGCATCTTCGGCACAACAAGCTTGGTGCCAAAGCGATTTGGGCCGTGCACTTTGGCATGGCTCAAAACAGCAAGGGGTGGCTTCTTTGGGACCCATTCACCAAGAAGTTCTTGGTGAGCAGGGATTGCAAGTTCATGGAGAACCTGATGTACAAGGATTGGAAGGCGGAGAACGAGGCAAAGATAGGCATGCGGTTTGGGGAGGTGAAAAGTTCCGGCCTGGAGCACGTGGAGCTGCCTTTGGAGCTGAGCAGCGGCAGCACTACCACAAGGCAATCTTCCCTTATGAATGGGGGAGAGGAGGCCAAGGATGCAGAGGAAGAAGAGGAGGAGGTGCAGCAAGTGAGCGAGCGTGATTTCACCAAGTATTGACGACATAGCGTCGGTTTGAACGAACGGCACTATGGCAGCCACTATAGTCTTCAAACACAAGATTAGGAAGAGTTACAAGTTGGGAATGACTCCCAGCTCCTACAAACCCCAAGAGCCGAGGTACAGTGATGTGGAACAGTGCCACACTGTCCCCAACCAAGAAGGGTCTCGAAACTACCCTCCACAAAGGTCTACACCAACAGAAATGTTACACTAC